ATTATTCTTAAACGGATGCAAAAATACTTAACAAAATTAACTAAATTAAACAACACACTGGAAGGATCATTCGCCATGATCCAGTATAGTTTATTCCCACAATGCAAAGATGGTTCAACCTAAGCAAATCAATAAATGTGAGACATCACATTCAAAGAACAAAGAACAAAAACTATATGATCATTTTACTAGATGCAGAAAAATCAATTAACAAAACTCAGCATCCAATCATACATTTTTAAAAAATCACTCAACAAATTAGGTATAGAAGGAATGGACCTAGGCACAATAAAGACTATATATGTTAAGCCACATCTAACTCCACAGAAAGTTAAAGCCCTTTACTCAGATCTACAGCAAGAAAGGATGCCTCTTCTCATCACTTCTATTCAACTTAGTATTGGATAGCCTTGCCATAACAAGTACACAAGAGAAAGAAATAAGCACCTGTGTAGGAAGAGGTGAAATTGTCACCATTTGCTGATAATAGGATCTTACATATGAAAAACCCTAAAGATTACAAATACACACACATACACACACACAAAACCTGTTAAAACTAATAAATGAATGCAGAAAAGTTGCAAGATACAAAGTTAACACACAAAAATTAGTAGCATTTCTATACATTAACAATGGACCCCTTCCCAAAAAAAAGAAGTCAGCAGAATAACCCCATTTACAATACCTACCAAAGGTAATAAGATAAAATACTTAAGAATAAATATAACTGCCATGGAATTTAGCTCAGTGGTTCCACTGCCTGCTTTGTAAGCACAAGGACCAGAGTTCGGTACCAAAATAAATAAATAAATAAATAAAACCAATGAGGTGAAAATGGTAAAACACTAATGAGTGAGGCTAGGCATGGTGGTGCATGCCTGTAATCCCAATGCTCTACAGGCTGAAACAGGAGGATTGCTGTGAGTTTGAGGCCAGCATGAATTACATATAGAGACCCTGTCTCAAAAAAAAGAATCTTTCACCATGCACTAAACTAAAATTCAAGTGGATTAAAGATCTAAATATTAAAAAAGAGACACTAAATTTTCTGGAAGATAAGTTAGGCAGAACTCTTGAAGATAATGGCATAGGAAAAGACTTTATGAACAAATCCAGAGCAGCACGGGAACTAACACAAAGAACAACTGAGATCTCACCGTATTAAAAGCTTCTGTGCTGCAAAAGAAACCATCAACAGAACTAAGAGACAACCTACAATGTTGGAAAAATTTTTACCAGCTGCTCCTCAGACAAAGGACTATTACCTAGAATATATAAAGAACTCAAAAAAAATCAGCCCCCCAAATATAAAGACCCAATTAAAAAATGGGCATTTGAAATGAACAGACATTTCTCAAAAGCATCAAGTAAATATATGAAAAAATGTTCCACATCACTGGTCATTTGAGAGATGCAGATGAAAACAACACTGAGATTCCACCTCAACCCACAAAAAAAAAAAAAAGGAGTACTACTCAGCCATAAAGAATGAGAAATTAGAGCCATTCATGGGGAAAATATTGAGGATATACTCCTAAGTGAAATAAATAAGTCACACGTGTATAAATACCAAATAGTTTCTCTGGTATGATCCTAATGGTATAATTGACAGTGTGAAATAGGAAGAAAGGAAGGAGCTAAAGGTGTAAGGAAAGTGGGAAGGGTAGGGGAAAGGAAGGGAAAAGAAAAAAAAGCAACAAAATTAAAAGCTGGAAATAAAGTATTTGTAAATAGGGAAGGGAGGAGGGGGTGAAGGGAAGGCAGGGATAAGGGCAGGGGGGGAGAGAACCAAGACCTGTCATGTAAAGGTACAAGATCCCAATGATGAGTATAACTGTACTGTATACCTAAAATGTACCAATAAACTCAATGAGAAAAAAAAAGAAAAATAAATTGAAAGCACAAATAAATGGGAAGACATCCCATGTTCATGGATTGGAAGAATTAACAGTGTTAAAATATTTGTAAATAGGGAAAGGTGGAGGGGATTAAGGGAGGGCAGGATTATGGGGAAAAAATAAGAACCAAGATACATCATGTAAAGGTACAACACCCCAGTGATGACTGTAACTGTACTGTATACCTAAAAAGTACCAATAAACTTAATGAAAAAATAGTGTTAAATATCTGTACTATCAAAACAATCTACATATTTGAAACTTCACTATCAAACTTCCAGTGGCAACTGGATACAGCAGTACACACCTATAATCCCAGTTACTGGGGAGGCTGATGAGGCAGGAGGATCACAAAATATAGTCAAGATACTTGAGGTGTCATGTCAACACTAAAAAGTTGAGATTTTGGAGCATTTGAGATTTGGGCTTTTGGATTAGGGATGCTCAACCTGTGATCAGTAATACTACACTCGGCAGCTGCTCTGCTTTTGCCTCTTGTGCCCCTGTACCCCTGAGAATTCTGGGTGAGTGAAGAAATGGGACTCAGTGATCTCTGCATCCCTGCGGCCCTGGTCACCCTGGGCCCGGATATACTCATTCTATTTGTCACCCCACTAAGTCATGCTGGGTGTAGAACTATTTATTTATTTCTGTATTTTTAGCACCCACCACAATGTCTGGCAGAAAAAGGCACTCAGTAAATGTTGGCTGAACGACATTTTGTGTATCTGCTAAAATTACTATGAAGACAATATGAAAAATGTCTAGCCCTGATTACAAATATGTAAAAATTATATATGTATGTGGATACAAAACAGAAGAGAATGTAGGACAATAAAAATTGTTAGATGAGGTGGAAGATGATCCTTTTGTTTTTTGTTATTGCTATAAAATTATAAAACTATTATGAACTTAAATAGTTCATGAGGGCTGACTGTAATTCACGTTGGTCAAATGAAGGCTCAGGCTCCTCTACACAGATGCCAAAGTTTCTCTCCTATACACAGGCAGACCTCAGTGTCCTCAGAGAGACATTGGCCCAGGATCTCTCAATGAGCTCCACACAGGAAAGGATGTTGTCATGTTCCTTTCAGTACAAATAGGGTTAAATCTGTATTTGAGACCATCTGGAAGCACCAGTGGCCGGCATTCAGATCGAAATTCAAGACTTCATTCTTAGTTAGAACTAAAATTCCAACCCTAACCCAAGTTGCTCGTATGCCAGGCCAGTCCTAACTCAGTGGATTACATTAGTATTTGTATAATTTTGAAAGTGATACATGAAATGTCTAGATCATGCTTAACTATCTAAGAAAGTAACTTGAAAATTCCACCTTGTGTAGGCAGAACAATAAGGCTGTTTTCTGAAACATGGAAAGACTGAGTCCTAGGGCCAAGTTTGCTGCTCAGTGTAGAATTCTGACTGGACATGGAAAGTGTTGTCAAATAAGTGGAAGACTCTCAGGAATGGATCCAACACTTCAGGTTCATGTTGTGTTTCCTTCCCCTTTTCTCGGGCCTCTCTTTTTGGGGTAACCCCAAAGCATACACCAGTTACCCAAGTTATACTGGACAATCTTCCATTAGCTCTACTCTACTGCCCCCGAGAAAAGTTATACCAGGAATTAAAAACAGACAGAAAGCCAGGCATGGTGGCGCACGCCTGTAATCCCAGCACTCCGGAGGCTGAGGCAGGAGGATCGCTGTGAGTTTGAGACCAGCCTGGGCTACATAGTGAGTTCCAGGTCAGTCTCAACTACATAGTGAGACCCTGTCTCAAAAAAAACAAAACCAAAACCAGAAAAAACAAAACAAAAACAAAAAACCAGACAGAGTGTATTCCTTGCTCAGAGTTTGGTCTATACAGACCAGATTTCCAACCGAAAGGAACCATGGACCCTTGGAGAAATGGCGGATTCTGGGTCTCAAGGAGAGGATGTATAAGATGAGCCCAGAGCATTTTTTAATCATCCTGGAAATCAAGAAAGCAATCAAACACTATTGAAGTCACAATGACTGACTCAGGAGCCTCCAGACAAGGCCCCACTGCTGAGAGGGAGCAACTGTCAATAAGAATAAAACTGTCAGGGGCCCAGGGATTTAGCTCAGTGACACCATGCCTGCCTGGCAAGGGCAAGGTCCTGAGTTCAATCCCTGATACCAAAATAAATAAATTTTAAGAAAGAATAAAACTGTCAGGAGTTGAAACACTTCAAATAAGTTTAAATCTGTACCTTCATAATATTTGTTAACAAGAATAGTTAAGAAAACCCACCCATTGCTCACTTGTGGAGGGTGGTAGGGAACCAGCTGATAATTTTGAAAAGCAGTAAAGGAGGGGACAGAACCAAAGCTCTCCTGCCTTTGTTACACTACAGTGCCTCTGTTGCCCGACAGTTGGTGAAAGGAAGGTTTCCCTCGCTGAAGTGATCCAACCAGTGACCGAGGAAGAAATGACAGACGTAGAATATCACCCCTTTGTGGTCCCTAGTGAATTAATGGATCTAAGTACAATCAACAATGGTTGTTCGGGGTGGGGGTGTGGGAGGGAGACGGGGAGCATGAACTGCCACCGTGGGTTGCAGGAGTCAAAGCCAGGCTGTAAGAAACTCCCATCACCACCATCCAGATTACTCCCAAGTTAAAACGGACAGGAAGCCTATAGGTTAAAAAGGAATCGTGGAGAATCAACCAACAGCAATATTCTGACTTAGCTTGGCTCTGATTCACCTAAGATTAGAAAAGAGAATATGAGACAAGCGGTTATACAGGAGTCCTGGCTGGAGAGTTATTAATAGTATTGATAATGCAATGCGATGTGGAAATAATATTATCATCTTTTTTAAAAAGAGCTTGCACCTTTCAGAGAGACAGACAGGAACTGTGGAGTCTGAGGCCGAGCTGACGAAGCACTGGCAGGACGGGAGGACAGCCGGGATGAGAGCGGACTCCATTACTCTCTTCACTTTGCTATATGTTGGAAATGTTCAATAATAAAGAGCCTAAAACACTAATAAAATATAAATGAAGCTCTTCCTTTCCCTCACATTTCACGTCTGGGGGGAAAAAAAGATGTCAAGGAAACAGTGGGACTCTTACCTTTTCATTAACTGGAGGAACGTTCTCCTTGGTAGCCGGTAAACAAAGGTGTCCAGGACAACCTTGAGGTAATTCAAAGAGACGTAGCCACCTCTGGAGGGATCCCCGGCGCTGAGGGCTTTTTCAATCTTTTCAACTGACTTTGAGAACTGCAATGAATTAAAATTGAGAGTGCTGCATTCATAAAAATCGACTTGACGGGGCTATTCAACCATCTTATTTATTTATTTATTATTTATTATTTATTTTTTTAACCAAAACCTCTTCAAATTCTTCTCCCCAAAAATTGATCAAAAAGGTTACTGTGGCAGGTACTGAACTTCAGATGTTTAATTGATGAATTCACTACTGAGGAGCATTCCCAGTCTCCGCTTCTCAGTTGACAAGGCAGACAAGCTTCTTGGGGGAAAACAGCACATACAATAGATCTACCTCAAATTGCAGCGCTAAAAATACTTGGTGGATCTGCCAGTTTGATACATCTTTCCTAATATACTTCAAGCCGCTCCCCACTGTGAAGCTGCCCCTGATTAAGTCAGGCCAATCAAACACACATGCTGGCAACATTTTATTAAAAATAGAAGTTGATTTCATGGTAAGGAAAGTAATTCATATCAGGACTGCATAAACATAGTACACTTTGGACATTTCTTGAATCATTCTCTCTTAATTTTTTTTTTTTTTTTTTGGCAAAGACCTGGGTAAATGAGTTTTGTTTTGGAGATTCCTACACCACAGTGAAGTAGGTTAACCACTGATTTTTACGACTCATAAAAATACTGTGAAGATTGGTTTTCTTTCTACAGGCTTTCCTGCTGTTTATTACTGAGTAATAACAATATTCTCCAATATTTTCCACCATCCCACTTCACTTGAATTCATTTTTTCCTGCTAACTTAGATAAGAAGACAAACAAAATAACCATGCACTTGGTGGGTGATTAAGACTTTCTTAAAAATCTGCTGGAACTTGGAGTCTTGATCGGCGAAAGGAATAAGGAGCAGGTTTAGTAAAATGTCCTTGATGTGCACAGGAAATTTGGAATCTACAGCGGAAGTCTTTAAAAATATCATGAGACTTAAGTTTCTCAGAAAAGATCTATGCATCTTAGAAAATTGTACAAAATTAATTCCAAATGCAGCTCAACTTGCTCATCTCTCCTGTAGTGGGGTGGGCTGTATTAGATTCACTGCCTGGGGGAAAACTCACAGAGAAAAGCAAGAGTCCATGTGAAGCAGGGTCTCTGTGATTTATGGGATCTGTGAAGTCCATTTTTTATATTTTAATGACATTCAGTCCCCAGTAAGTTTTTTTGAGTAGCATGCTTGAGCAAAGACTTTTAGAAAAAGAGCAGGGAATGAAACAGAAACAAACTCCTGATGGTGTATGTACACTCTGATGAATTTTCTTTGTTACTGTTTACACAGAACGTAAGACTATTTGTTTAAGAAAAATGCAAGCAACCCACCAGAGTATAAAGAGAGGAAATAAACATACCTGGAAGTCTACCAACCGCAGTTTCCCATACAGAGTTCCCAATGCTCCCGGTGTGATCATAAAAACACAGGTAATTTTACAAAAATGGAATCATGCTACACTTTCAGGTTTGACAAATGCTGTCGTCATTTAATGTTATGTCTTGCTATTTTTTTCCATAAGAACAAGTATGAATCCACATTATCCTCTTAGGTGATCTATGGAGTACCGTCATACTGCTGATGGAGAAGCCAACAGTCTGCCCACTGCAATGTTTATTTATTTGTCTTTATCTGCATTTCCTGGATCCCCACCTAAGTGAGACCTCTGTGGTTATTCTCTCTCTTAACTCCCTGTCATTTTCTGCCAGAACCCTGGCAGGTTGTATTTAGGAGTGTGTGTTTTGTTCACATCTCTCTCCTTGATGTAAGGCCATGTGAGCTCCCTGGGTGCAGCCACCCTGCCTGTTTGTCACCGCTAATACCCCAGAAGGAGCACAATTTTGACAATTGGGACGCACTCCACAAACTTGTTAGAAGTGGATATATTTTCATCAAAGATGTTCTAAACAAAGGTTGCAATTTATGAGAAACCATCCAAAGCACTGGGAAAAAGGAAAATGAAAGCTAAAATCATTGCTGAGTCACGATAGGCATTGGACTGGCCAGAGTATAAAAGTCTAACCATGTCAAGTGTTGGTGAGCATCTGGGACAACAGCAGCTCCCATGTGCTCTTGGTGGGAGTGGAAACTGAAAATGGAAAAACAATTTGACATTGCCAACTAGAGAAGAAGACCATGGTCTCTACAGCCCGGTAGGCATAACTCTCGGAAGCCACCTACACAAAACTGTTAAGGGTGGCAATGCTTGGATTAGCACAAAATAATGAGCAATCTAAATACCCACCCACCACAGGAGGACCAAGGGCTTGTGTAGCGTTCGGAGAGCAGAAAACTACAGCAGTGAAAATGACGATATAGTGATACTCAAAATGCAGGTGAATCTCATCCTGAGTACTAACCGGATGAAAATAAATGGTCTTACAACTATGCAAATTTACTACAGAGGAGGAAGAAAGGAAGGGAGAAAAGAAGAAAGGAACTAAAGAAGGAAGGAGGGAAAAGAGGAAGGAAACAATCAATCAAGCAAGAAACAAAGAACTCATGGTGTAAGGAAACATAAAACAAAATCCCCTGCAAAAATGGACTTTCAGGCCATAAAAATGAAATAAATAAAAATCTGAATTCATTAAAATAGAGTATTGAAGTGAGGAGGGGTATTTCAGAGCTAAGAAGACAAAAAAATAAAAATAACATCATTATAGGAGCTGAGAAAATTATAAACAGCAAGAATATGAGATAAGGGTGGAATTTAAATATTAAAGAAATGGCTTAAAAGAATCTCAAAGAAAGGCAGAAAAGTAAGACAAAATGATTAAAGCAATTTAAGAGCAGATGACAGCTATCGAGGACAGACAACGAGGAGACAGGGCAAGGACGGCTGGAAAACCACAGAAGAAAGGACAGATGGGAGGAGGAAGAGGAGAAGGGAAAGAAGGGTCAGGGGAGCTGATTTTAGCACAAGGACACCAGACATTTCCCTGATGAAGGAAAGAGTTCATCTGTGCATCTAGAGAACACACTGCCTTCCAGGCAAAATGGGCAGGACATAGCTTAGTTTGGCTTTTTTAATTTCAAGGATCAAGACAAAAAAAAAAACAAAAAAAAAAAAAAAAAAAAAAAAAAAAAAAAAAAAAAAAAACCTTCAGCCATCCATGCAGGAAGGCTACAAGGGAAAAAATAATCATGCCAATCCCAGGTTCCTCATAGCCACATCCAGTGTCTGAAGACAACAAAGAAATATTTACAGATTTATACTCAGAAGAAAAGAAAGTGGGGCAGAGAAATCTACCCAGCCAAGTTGTTCAAATACCGAAGCAAAAGCACACAGTCTGGCAAGAAAAAAACAAAGGGAATAAAGCACCGATGAGCCTCTCTCAGGGAAATTACTTGATAATGAAATCAAGCCAACCAAAAAGTAAACCAAAATAACTCTAAGAGGGATAAACTGTAGTAAGCACCGAACTAGAGTGATGGACATTAAATTCGTGTAACTATAAAACAAAGGCAAAAAAACAACTGGGGGGATGGTAAGGGTACACACTGTAGAGACCTTAAACTCTGAGAGGGAACCACACACAGTAAAAACGGGGTGGAAGGGGTGGGGCAGGGAGAGGCGAGAGGGAAAAGCCAGCCCTGCGGTCCGCAGTGGAGCGCGGTTGTCACGGCGTCACCACATCTTGGTGGCTTCCTCAATCTCACCGCTGGCGTCGATGTCCCTTTGGGACCTCACACGCCTTATAAGAAAGAAGTATTCACCCAAAGTTCAGAAAGGTGTTTGCTTTCACCTGAGGTCAGTGCCCTGGGGTTGTGGGTAAGGGTGCTGGAGCGACCCTGTGCGCATTTGTTTATCTGGGCTCCAGAGCTCCCTGGAAAGTCCTCGGAGCACTTCGTGCGTGAAGTGACAACAGCGCCCGACTCCCAGAGCTGCAGAAGATGCAGAGGCCATGACTACCTCAGCCCTGGGAAAACCCAAGAGGGCTAATTAAGATCATGTTGTTTGCTTTCTGGTAAAGTCAAGAAAATTTCAATTAAATGTGTGTGTGTTTTTTTAAAAAGCATGATCTTTTTCTTATAAAATTATTTCTATCCAAAAATCCACATTATAACCGAGGGCTTGCACAGTTGGTTTAAAGCCAGCCTGGGCTACACAGCAAGACCTAATTTCAAATTATATTACAAAGACATAGTAACAAAAGCAGCATGGTACTGGCACAAAAATTGCCATATAGGCCAATGGAATAGAGTAGAGGACACAGAAACAAACCCATGTAGCTACAGCTATCTGATTCTGGACAAAGGAGCCAAAAATATATGTTGGAAAAAAGACAGCCTCTTTAACCGATGGTGCAAGGAAACCTGGATATCTATATGTAGAACAGTGAAATTAGATTGCTATCTCTTACCCTATACAAAAATCAAAGGCCTAGGTCTAAGATGGAAACTTTGAAACTGACTGAAAAAGGTACAGTGGAAACACATGAAGCCACAGGCACAGGCAAAGACTTCCAGAGCTGAGCTCCAAAAGCATAAGAAATAATAGCAAGAATCAGCAACTGGCATTATAGCAAATTCTAAAAAGTTCTGTACAGTAAAGGAAACAACTAACAGAGTGAAGGGACAGCCTAGAGAATGGGAGAAAGTCTTTGTCAGCTACTCCCGCGACAGAGAATTAATACCAAATCAAACAGTCCAACGATAAGTGGGCAACTGAAGTGAGCAGACATTTTTCTAAAGAACAAGTACAAGTGGCCAACAAGTATATGAAAGTGTTCAAGATCTGTAGCCTTCAGGGAAGTGTAAATCGAAACTACACTGAGATCCCCTCTCTCCCCAGTCAGAATGGCTGTCACCAGGAGTATACAAAACAATAAATGGGTCTGGAGATTTAGCTTAGTGGTGCCAGCACCTGGCTGGCAAGTGCAAGGTCCTGAGTTCGATCCCTGGTACAGAAAAAGACCAGGAAAAAAAAAAAAAAACAATAAACGCTGGTGAGGCTATGGGGAAAAGCAGCCCTTCTATCCTGCTGATGGGAATGTAAACTAGTAGAGTCTCTATGGAAATGTGTATGGGGGTGTCTGCAAAAACTAAAACCAGAGCTACCACATGACCCAGCTACCCCACTCCTTGTGTATGCACAGAGCAATTAAAGCCCACAATTACTGCAGCACAATTCACGAGAGCCAAGATATGGAGCCAGCCTCAGTGCCCATCCACAGATGAATGGACAAAGAAAATGTGCTCCATTGACCAACAGAGTACTATTCAGCCTTAAAGAAGAAAGAAATTGTGTCATCAGCAGGAAAACTGGTGGACTTGGAGATCACCATGTGAAGCAAAATAAGCCAGACTCAGAAAGGCAACGATCACGTTTCCCCTAATACGTGGAATCTAAAAAAGGTAACACAGAATTAGAAGGGAGATTATTACAGACAAGAGAAAGGAAGTGAGAGGGAGAGGATATAAGGGATGATACTGGGGCATGGAAGAAAGTTCTAATTGTAATCATTAAGGGATCATGACGTCGACACGAATATATTGAGGTGAAAAGGTGTCCACAACCCCCTCTTAGGTTACCAAACAGTATACACGGCATGGCCGATTATTTATTTTCAAGTAAACATTAATGTTAGAGATATCAAGAAAGCATCTAGAATGGTGTTCACGTACCTGTTTTAATCAGTCTCTGGGACTGAGATGCCGAGTACATTTTTCTTTCTGTTGAAGAGCATTTTCTGATTGGTGCTACTATAAAATATCTCTAAGCAGAGGAAGTTAAGAATTGCTATGTAAGGGCTGGGGATTTAGCTCAGTGGTTCCGCCACCTGCCTTGCAGGTGCAAGGACCCGAGTTCGATCCCCGGTACCAAAGAAAAAAGAATTTCTAGGTGAGGTGATAAATATGTTAATTACCCTGATTGTAGTAATTACTGCACAATGTACCTGATGTTGTACACCTTAAATAGATACAATTTTACTTGCCAATTCTACTCTGTAAAAAATAAGTAAGTAAATGGTTATTTCTATCCGTCTGTCCACTCTCCTACCCACCCATGGATGTAGCCTACCCTTCCATGCTAAAGTAAAGAAAGGTCTACAGTTATGTTCATTAAATGCTGCCTTTGACCATTTCTGAGTAGTGGACTGTGAATAATTTAATACTTTCTTCTTTGTGCTTTTCAGAATTGCTTACTTTTTTTGTAATGGTCATGGGTCATTCTGTCATGGTTTGTATGAAAACAATAAAGCTGTTAATCAACATTGACTAGAGAGAGCAAATTTTATCAGTCTACCCACAGATATTAAAGTGCTCGTTTCTCTTACAGCTTCACTGCCACTGGCTTTCTTTTCTCTCTCTCTGTCTCTCTCTCATTGAGTTTACTGGTACATTTTAGGTACACAGTACAGTCACATTCATCATTGGGATCTTGTACTTTTACACGACAGATCTTGGTTCTCATTTTTTCCCCTTATCCCTGCCCTCCCTTCACCCACTTCTTCCTTCCTTATTTACAAATACTTTATTTCCATTTTTTCATTTTCTCATGGTTTTTTCTTTTCCCTTATTTCCTTTCCCCACCATCACTGGCTTTCTTAGTTTATTCCTCATTGGAAATTTTCTATTAATGCTCTGTAAAAGCTGGATGCAAGGAACAGTTATTGTTTTTCATTTATGTTTCACATATTTTACAAAGTTGATCATATGTTAATGTAAAGTTGTGCTGCTCAAAATCTTTTTATTGTCATGTAGTCAAACTTTATGTTTCAAAGACTTGAAGACGTAAAAATTTTCACCCTGGCTTGGGGTACATTAGAGCTCAGTGGCAGAGTGCTTGCCTAGCATAATTCAGCACCATAAAAAAAGAATCATTCATATTATTTGCTTCAGATTTAAACAGCTGATGCATTCAAAATTTATTTTGGTGAAGAGGAAATGGTTATAAGCTCCTCCGTAAAAGTATGAATTATGAATTATCTCAATAATAACTACTGAAAAATCCACTCCTACCCCCACTATATTGTATTAAAATGACTCAGATAATATACTAAATTCAGGGCCGGGGATTTAGCTCAGTGGTTCCACCACCTGCCTCGCAAGCACAAGGACCCAAGTTCGATCCCCAGTACCAAAAAACAAACAAACAAGCAAAAGTGAATTCACATATTCTTTTAAATCAATTTGAGTATCTATTGCTGATCTATTGCCACACTGCTCTAATTATTATACTTTTTAAAATACTTTATGTATGGTAGGATGAGTCCACTGTTGCAATTTTTCAAAAGGAACATATATCCAGATACAGGCAAAGCAGGCATTAATATCAAATCTTCCAGTCCAAGAAGTAGAAAAGCCTTCTTCATTTATTTAAGTTTTCTTTCATGTTAATCAACTAAGTTGCATCATATCATTATATAAGATTGATATATTTCTTGTTAGAGTTAGTTTTGTGTGGTGCAGAGGAGTATTTAACAATTTCTCATCACTGTTGTTACCAGTGCATCAATCACTATTATTGGGAGAGGAAAGAGGTCTGTCAATTTGCGATGTGGGTAGGATGAAAACAAATTTTAGAAACACTACCTAGACCTGAGAGTTTGTGACAGTCGTCCATTTGGCTGTGTTCACACTTTTGATAAAAATGCTTTAGGAAAACATTTTACCTCTTGGCAGAAGACCCTTTCAACATCATCTAAGGAATAGTTGTTCCAGCTCTCTTCAAATGGTGCAGAATCGAGTGACTGCTCTCTCTTTAAGGTTTTGGCTTGTTGATTCTCTGGTGAGACCTCTATTAAAACAAAAAAGTTTGTTCACATTGTCAAAGCTACATGGAAACCATTTCTTTTTAATCATCACCTGTTTGATAAAAAAAAAATAAGACTTGAATGAACCAAGAAAAAGATGATCTAATAAATTCTTTGAAACAATTGGATGAGCCAGGCATGGTGGCATATGCCTGTAATCCCAGTACTGAGGCAGCAGGATTTCCTTGAGTTCGAGGCTAGCTTGAACTACATAGAGAGATTGTGTCCAGAAAAACAGAAATAAATAAATAAATAAATGGATGAACCTTTTGGAAAGAAATAAAATTAGTCTTCTATGCACTATCATTCTAGGTTAAACCCTAGATATACACCAAACAGAATAAAATAAAAACATAAAAGTAGTAGAAGAAAATTTTGATGACTATTACACATTACACAATCTACCTGAGGGAAGAACTTTCCAAGGAAAATAGTAAACCCAGAAATCCTTTAAATAATAGGTAGATCTGACAGCACAAATACTATTTAAATTGTGTTTGGTTGAAGTTTGCACAAATAGCAGTGAAAGAAAAATGAGTGGGGAAAACGATCGCTAATGTATGCAAAAATACACATGAATGTTTGTAATATACAATTAGCTCCTATGAATCAGTAAGATTGATATAAACATCCAATAGAATACTTCGGTAAGAGACAGGTAACGTTAAAAAAAAATCCAATAAGTGTATGAAAACTGCTCAAACATTGATAATTTTTAAAGCCTAATTAAAACAAGTTAACGTTTTTTTATACTGTCAAATAATGAAAGCTTAAAGAGAATGGTGATAAGCAGCTCTGGCTTCTACATACAAAAAAAACCCTCACACTTGATATTCTTAAATCTTTTTTTAATACTTTATACTCATGGAATAATAGTGCTACTCAATAGAGACATCTGGATAAGAACATTTCTGTACTGTTTACAAGGGAATAAAGACACTCTAAATGCCCATTAACAGAGGATGAGTTTTATAAATTAGTGGCCATCAAGCCTGTGAAATAATACATAGATGCTAAAAACAAAGATGCATGTCTAAATTTATGGGTGTGGAAATATTTTCTTGCTATACATTACTTCAGGACTGATAAAAGAACAATTAACGTAATTTTCATCTTAATGCTGATGTACCTTCTCCAACCTCTCCATCCCTCTATGCATGCAGCGGGAAAGATAACATGCCAGAAAGAACACCTTGGTAGGATTCTGGAGGCAGGATTACGGGAGCTGGTTATTTTGTGTTTTACAGCTGTGTCAAACAAACATGTATTACTTTCATAACAAAAGTGAATAAAATAAATCTAAAATATAGCCATCTTCTTTCTCAAAGTTGACCACAAAGAATCACAAATGCTTTCCCAGATTTATTTCCTAAAATGTCTGCAAATAAACTCCAACCAAATGAAGCACACTTCATCTGCAGCTAACAAACCATGAGTGATCTGGAATTCCACTTCCTATCTCCACAAACAGTAAAAAGAAAAAGACAGTCTGGACACAATGCCTGTCCTTAGGAGCCTGGTATGCAACACTCTGGCCTCGAGGACCCCAGCATTTCGAAGCTGGGATCTCAGAGTGCCCAGGCCAAAAGAAGCCTTGCGGGAAGATGAGGAGGCCAAGTCCCCACTCAGGCTCCTGCTGGTCAAGTTCCCCGGGTCTCTAGGTTGGGCTTCCAGATAGTGCATCCTGTTCTTTAACCAGGAACACACACACACACACGCAGCATGCCCAGCCTCCGGCGTGTGGACCAGTGGGTTGGGTGGGAGGGACAGCACACCATCCTGGAACTCGTGGTGTCCATGCTGGAGGGGAGGATAGTCACAGCATCTTCAGCGACTCCCTCTTCCCATAATGCTATCAGTCTCACATTCCAGGAATCCCCCCCACCTCAGGTTTTCCCAAGATTTCTTCTGAAGGATTTTTTTTCTTTTGGTACTGGGGATGGAACTCAGGCCTGGTGTTGCTGAGCAAATGCTCTACTGTGACTTCCACCCCCAGCCTCTCTCTGAAGGGCTCTTGCTGATCCCAGTGGTGTGCAGGGATCTGAAGCTTACAGTGGTTTGGGTACATCCTGGATGGGCTCATGGGCAGGGTCTACTTGGATGTGCTAGATCGCCAACCAATGTGGGCTACGGACCGATGAATAAGAAATTCCTTAGTGATAGAAGACATGGAAGGAAACATCAACCACAGTGAGGAAACTCAGACATTAGATGGTAGAAAATTGGGAGCAAATTAGAAAAAAATAAAATCACTTCCACTCTGCAATACAGTATCCTTAACCGTAGTCACCAGGAAATTGGACTAAAGTTGACAATGTGATTAGCTACTGTCACCATGAAGGTAGTAACTATGAGTTCACACCACACACTGAAAAAGGAGGTAGGTGTGCTAATTAACTTGATTGTGGTAATCACGTCACAGTGTATACATATAGCCAATCACAGTATTATGTACCTTAACTGTATATAATTTGTATTTGTCAATTATATCTCAGTAAAGCTGGAAATAAATCATTTTAGAAAAGAAGACTAAAAGGAACCTGGGAGTAAATAAATACAATAGTAGTATAAGTGAAATGCAAATTATATCAAGTAAGCAAAAGGAAGGAAAGAAAGAAGGGAGGAAAAGAAGAAAGAAAGCCTAGCACCAAAACAAAACAAAAAAAGGCGAAAGAAGGAGGAGAGGAAAGAAGAAAAAAGAAAGGAGATTCATGAGACAGCCACTGTCCAGAAAAGAAGACATGAAAGAAAGATCCAAGAATTATGCAATATGAGTAGCTGAGAAGAAAATAAAACAGTGGAATAGAAACAAATACTAAAAATTACAAATTCAAGAAGACTTCCTGAAATAAAGAGCCTCAAATCTGCAAATGTAAATAGTAATGGCATACTCAGGAAATCAGTCATGAGTACCTAATAAGATCTTGGCATATTCCAGCAAAATTATCAGGTTTTAGATTAAAAAAAAAAAAATCTCTGGGCATCCCCACAAAAATTCAAGCTAATTAGAGAAATAAATTAAATTGTCACCAGTTTTCCTCAGCAAAACTTCATGTCATCAGACAATGGATGAAGATATTTTAGATACTCAAGAAAAATAGTTCCAAGGATTTTATACCTAGAATTTTTTTTTTGGTACCGGGGATTGAACTCGGGTCCTTGCACTTGCAAGGCAGGCCACCGAACCGCTGAGCTAAATCCCCAGCCCTAGGAATTTTTTTTAAAGGAGGAAATGTTGATTTCAGGTCACATTTTGTAGAGATTGGCTGGCTCCAAGGCAGAGCACCATGGCAAAGGGCATGGCAGAGGAGAAACAGCCCATGGCAGGGCAAGCAGAAAGCAGCCAAGGAGTAAGCCTTCCTTTCCTTTTATTCCCTCAGACTACAAATCTATTGATTGGTGCCACCCACACCTAGGGATCTAGGGTGGGCCTTTCCATCATCCACACCTAGAACTACGCTAAACAAATCAATGGAATAATCCAGTTATCACACATCCTAGATTTAGCCACCTCTGAAAAGCCCCATCTGTGAACACGTCACAGGCTCCCATGTACATGTGTGCATTATTAACATGTTGTGTTTTTCTCCCATCAGCATGTCTTGTTACAGAGGTGTCAACTGTAACCTTTTGTGACTGAGAGGAAGGGGATCCACCACCCCTATGCACACATATGCAAGGCAAGAGATGTGAGGCTGCATGTCTCTTTTTATAAGGAAACCGCTCTTTTGTATACCTAGAAATGTTTTTCAACTGTTAAGGCCACAAACTTATGAATAAGCAATCGGAGAGTATCGTTTCCATGAGCATTTCCGAAGGAATACACCAGAAAGCAAGCTTCGAGTGACCATGGCCTAGGGACACGACAGGATGGACAGAAGCCACTGAGCAAATGTGACAGTGATCTCCACTACTGTGTGGCTGTCTGGGGGAAGCTGAGTCAGGAGAAAGCAAGACCCACTTCTGAACAAAGTGAGCAGGAAGAACTACAAGATAAACCCCAAGTTGAGGTTGATCTTGGGCTCTCTCCTCTCTGGGACTTGCCTGGATTTTTTCCCAAACCAAATTACATGAGAATTCAAATTAGCCAAGCCAACATCCAAGTAACATGTTTTCCACCACAACCCAACCTGGCTGCTCTGGGTACTGAGATTCCCCCTGTGGGGCTGAGAATGCGGTGCCGATTGGAAGGCAGTAGGAGCTGAGCAGCTGGTGTTGGAGATGTGTCCTTTGCTGATGCTGCCCAGCCTCCGGCCTGGGTGTCCACAGCCTCAGTCTAGAGCTGTAATGTAACTGGCCCTGAGCCTCAAACGGCTCCATCTTTAATCTAGAACATCCACAAAAAGCCTCTAATGGACAGGTTTGAATTTCAGCTGTAGAAGTCAGAGACTAGGAGTTCAGTGAGAAAGTGGACAGACTGGAACGGGGCAGCGCAGGAGACCAGTTGGGAGGCAGCAGCAGGAATCCAGCGAGCACTGTGGGAAGGGGAATACACGAGGTGCGACGGGAAAATTATGGTGAATATTTAATATTTTTTTAATTAACAAAAGTGAAAGATGCGTAGCCATTAACCCTTTCAAAATACTACCCACCACTCCCAAGCCGCTTATCCCAGCACTACTGCCACCTGCTGGAGAACTTCTGGAGGTCCTCTTTCCTGACGGTCGTTACTTGCACTGTCGCTGCTCCCTCCATGCCTTGAACCGATTCAACATGTAACACTTTCGTGGTTATGCTGCCTTTAGGGACGGGTCAGGAGTTGCACGGTGCTAGACCCAGGGAATACGGTGGGTGAGGGTGCAGCGCCCGGTTTTCACAAGCTTGAGTTTTCTTTGGATGGCATTCGGTAGCCGCATTCACAGTAGTTTTGCTCCTGTCTCTTAAAGGCACTCAGGAAAGAGGACTCCAGAAATGCTTCAGGAAGCGGCAAGAACGATGGGAAAAATGTGTTAGAAGTGAGAGGGAGGATTCTGAGGGGGATGAAGAGAAGTGTGTCTTTTATTGCGATCGTTTTTAAGATGTAAGCATTCACCGTGTATTGTGATCATGCTTCCTACAGGAACATATTCAGAAGTGTACAGGGGAACTAGATATACAGCCTATATTTGATCAAATCAAAGACACCTTTTCACTGTGAGATGTATGGATACTTTATGTGTCATCAATAAGGAAAGCCTGCTGCCGATTACTGATAAAATTTGGAGCCAGAAGTGAGAGAGCTTTCCATGGTAAAATGAAATAGTATTATGAAACTGACTCTTTTACAGCACCTAATGAAATAAGCGAAAGGGAAAAAACAGTAAAAATTACATGTATATGAAAAAGCAAACAACACTTAATATGAGCAGCCAGAAAATTCTGCCTCCAATTATGGTGGATTAGCTCATATTAAACCAACATTCCCAGCAGATAACAATTATAAACTCCAGGCAAAACATAAATAAAACTATCTGAAGGCGCTGGGGAACAGCTGAAAGCAGACACCAACTGAAGCTGACACTGGAAAAATGGCATCCCAGGCAGCTCGGCTCGGTGCCCGAGGGCAGGCCCCAGCAGGAACCCCGCTCTGTGGCTAGAAGTTGGATGTAAACCCAGGATCTTGTGGGGTTCAGGAATCAGAAAACATCTCAGGACTGCCACCGCAACTGTAGAGAGAGATGAGACGCAGAGGAAATCCTCAGAGTGTGTGGTGAACCATGGCCAAATCTCTGGCCAACTTTTGAATTTGGGTGTGCAGAATAGAAGCCGAGTTGCCAGGCAAAGGATGAGACAACAGCACACAGATTTCAGGTGCTACCCCTCAGGGAGGACAGTCAGTTCCAACACAGCCAAGAAAAGTGACTGCTAAACAAGCCCCCCCCCCAAAAAAATTAAAATTTGCAGAGGAATATAAAAGAATCCATAGTGTGCAACAAAGCAAAATTTACCATATTAAGGATAAATTCCAAATTTACCAAAACAGGAAACTGCATTCTACATTCAAGAAAAAAAAGGGGGGAGGGGATCAATAAAGATCAAACTCTGAGACCATCAAAATGTTGGAATTAGCAGATATAAGACATAAAGCTTTGGAATATTCTTAAAATTTTCAAGTAGCTGTGTTTGAGAATAGATACTCTTAATGAATGAACAGACAAAAAAACCTCAGTGGTTATAACAATGGAAGTTGCAGCAATGTAGGGCGACACAAGGGAAGAACGACGGAGAACTTTCTGCTGTGAAGTTCTCACACTTCATGGAATTAGGATAATAGTATCTAAAGGTAGGTTCTCATCTATTAAAGGTATATATCTGAACCGCGGAACGAGTGAAAAAACATGTAACAAGAAATAAAAGGTCAATGAAAAAATTAAAACAGACCAGAAAAACCCCAACTTACTCAAATTTCTTGAAATTAATGCAAACTGTACAAGAAAAAAAAGAGAGAGAAGGGATGCTAGATAATGAAGAAGAAAAGGCAGAGACCGCGTTGGAAGGAAATGTACATCAAGATTATTTTTTAAAATTACAGAGTATCTTACTGAAGATGTGAATTCAGTAAAACAACAGCTCAATGACAGGTGAAAAAACAGCAAGATGAGATGAAAAACAATAAATACACCTAAAAGAACATAGTGGATCTCATAGGTAAATTAGAAATGACAAAGAATAGAACAGATCTTGGTGAAAATCAAATTGTGCATGTAAATACAGACTGTAGGTGATCACTGTGCAAACAGGAAAAAGACAAGAGGAAATCACTTGGAGAGAATCTAATAGCTATGGAGAACAAAGACAGTCCAGCAGAACGATGATTTGAATCCCTGAAGTTAAAAATCTGCAAAATGGGAGATACACAGTATATTATTTTAAAAATCTTAACATGAAGAGAAGGATCCAGGAAATCATGAAAAATACACTGCAGAAGCTGATGTAGAAGACGCAGCCCTAAAGCACATCCTAGCCAGGTTGGGGGAAAAGAGCCAATCCCCCAAAGGGGAGAAAACGAAGCAGGCATCAGACTTAGCACCCAGACCCAGTCCTAGCAAGCTGCAGATCAAAGTCTAAGACATTTTGAAAGGGGAAGGGTAACCTGTGGTTATTGTATCCGGCCAAAATGTATCTGTCATTTTCTTGAGTTTCACTGCAATTTCTATTCCTCTGACACACTCCAAGTAAGTTGTTCTTATATAAAATAGCATCCACACGACCCCATTTTACAAACAGATTTCTTTCTCTCTATCTCTCCTTTCCATATGCATGCATGGGAGGATGCCAGGAATAATGCTGACAGTTATTTCTGGCTAGCGAGACTTGTTTGATGGTTGATTTCAATCTTTCACTCATTGCAGGGCTGCAGGGGAAATGATAGGAGATGATACCAGAACATGCCTAGCACAGTGCCTGCCACGGGCAGTTCTGGAGTCCTTGGGTCTGCCATAAGCAAAACCAGGCTGAAACCAGACAATCTGTCATTTTTCAGCTTGCTAGTGAGGCGGAACTGACAATCACAGAAGGTGCTCAGTGAGTGTTTGCAGAACTTAATTAAGTTGAAACCAGACGATGATGCCCTGGGTTGAATAAACCAGTCAAGGCGATGAACCTTCAGGGCAGGAAAGCACTAAGGGGAGACCCCATTAAGGCCAGAAAACTGACCCGTGGCTGGGAAGGGAGAGGGTGCTATTCAGACATTCCCTCTCTAAGAACTAGACCCCGGTTTTCTCCAGAACTACCCCACAGCTGGACACCTCTGGGTCCACATTAATAAGGCTGGGATACGGACTAGACGCAGCTGGGATTATTCCCTCTCAAGAGTAGATACCTGGCTTTACATATCTGATGTGATTGTAAATTACTCAGCTCCTTTGCCTTTTTTATCAAGATTTTTTTCCCATTAAAGGCACATGTGTCCATTATCAAAATTTTTCAAAAAATACAGAAGAAGCAGAAAGAAGATCAAGTAACACTCAGGTAGGTATCACTTAAACACAATCTGTGAGTTCTTTGGGGTCATTTTGCAATCAAAGACTGATTCCACACTTACTTCCTATATTATCTTTGGTGCGTTGTTCCTAGCTGTCCATTTTACTATGCAGGATGTGCTGGGACTCAAGGCTCTTTCTATATTTAAGCACTGACATGATCCTAACTAATGATCCCACAGCTCTCTTTGTAGACGATCCATTTTCCACATTTGAAAGTATTCTCTCTGGAAAGACTCATAGAATAGGAATGACCGTGCCAAAGGACACTGAAATTTTTAGTAAACATTGCAAAGGTCCTTACCTTGATTCCACATAAAATATCTAAGATGCAGGTCATTACTTATGCTGAGGTTCTTCAAAAACATATTGTAATCCACCGCGGCGTCTTTATCAATGTTGTAGTGTTTTGAGAACCTGAAATGCAAATATTCTTTCCAAATCAGACAACACAATGCAGCGGCTCTAAAATAAAGGCTATCTTCTGCGTTACTGAGGAATCCTTTGCGTTGAGACCGGCATTAATTTTCATGTCTGTGTCTAGCAAAAACTGGAATTAAAAGTAAACCCTGGGTGGGCCGGGGATTTAGCTCAGTGCCGCCGCCTGCCTCACAAGCTCAAGGACCTGAGGAGTTCAATCCGTGGTAACCAAAAAAAAAAAGTAAATCCTAGGAAATGTTATTGGCAGATTTTTCAAATGCAGATACTTTGAAGGACACCATTTCCTGGGCCTTCCGATGGATGAACAGAGAGCCATCCTACGGAGCTGCCTCCTTCTCCTGGGGGAGGGGAAGACACACAGGGCCCAGGCAGCCACCATTCCAATGGGACAGCAGAAGCAGATCACCTTCCTGTAGTACATGGAGGGATCCAGAGCTGGGAGAGAGCCAGTTGGCATAACAAGTCCATAACCAGGGCACCTAGAGCTGGATGGGACTAGGAGGCACACGGGTGATCTTTTTTATTACACTAGAGAGAAACTGAGGCCCACAGATGTCACGTGGCTCAAAGCAGCCAATAGCAAGTGTTCTTGAAGCATTCTGTGGTGTTTCACACATAACAAGCAATCTTTAAAACATGTGAACTACTATCTATCCCTAAAATATTTTGAGATAAACACAACGCTTGGATGCTTTAAAATGGATTTTCTATTATTCAAACTTGCCTCATGAGAAATGTCTTTCCAGATAATTTCTGAGTTATTACATTTCTTAAAAATTGACAGTTTTTACATGTTTGGCTATATTTTCTCCATATGTGTTGGTTTCTATAATTATCTAATTTCATGCTGCTTTTTCAAAATTTAGTAATTATTACTTAAGGTGTTTGTTATTTTTCTGTTTTCCAAATTTAATGGAGAGCAATGTCATGTATTTATATCAACGCACACCTATTTTTCCACTTTGATGAAGCCTGCCTATTGTTCTACTGAAAAAACTTATCTTGAGGGATGCCAGCTGCCAGATATTAACACAGAAGCTCCTGAAACAGCCCCATCTTTCCTCCTTGGCCTCAATCTGTGGAAATACACAGGGACCTGTGGAAGGCAGAGGTGGCTGCTCATGGAGGCCTTCCTGAGTGTAGGAATGTGTTGGCTGCTGGGCTGCTCCAGGAAAATGCAGGATTCTGTGAAAGGTCCACTGCTGGCCTTCGGGACTTCAAGGACAACACGTTCTTCCTGAACACAGGGCTCTGCTCAGAGGACAACCCAGCCCCATGCCTTGGCCCAGCCTGGCCAAGCTTGCAGCCCCTGCTGCAGACACCCAGGCAGAAAGAAACCCGGGGAATATGTCCTACAGATAAAAATTCAAGACTGAAGCTGAACCGGAAAAAATGACTTCTGAGCAAAAACTTTTTCCTGCAGCTAGCTGACCTGACAAAAAGCCACACCCAACTCATACCCCTCCTACAACCCAACATGTCCTCCTTCACTGTCTTTTGCTCTCAGTAAATGTCTATATTCTCAAGATGATGTCATCCTACTTTTCTGTCTTATGCAAATGAAATGAACTCCTGTGTACTTTTCTATTCAATCATGTAAACTGAATACAACTTTCTCAACCAATGAACTGATGTTACATGCCTTGCTTCTGTCTCTGCATTCCTCTTCCCTTGATCCACATAAACCATGTTCACTGCCAGCTCGGGGCTGATCGCTCTGTGGAGAAATCCCTGATCAGTCCACCAGTACAATAAAATCGTAACACTTGCTTCTAACTACCAGGTGAGTTCTCGATTCTTCTTGGCCTGATCCTGCTAAGCCACTAAGAGCCATACGTACCACTGTAAATCACAAGTCTGCCACAACAAAGCTCTGCCCTGCCCAGCAAGGCAGCATCTCCAGAGGATTTTGACAAGAACCAAAGATGGGAGATGGAAATGTTCTGTAGAGACAATGACCAGGGCCTCTGCTCAGGGACCTGAAATCAGGGCAGGGGCCTCACACACCTGCAGAAGCCAGTGGGTAAGTGGGCTTCCCAGGGGCCAGATTTGGAGGAGAAGGAAGGAGTCCCATCAGCCTACAGACCTGTCCAGTGCAAACACCTGGAGAAAAAGCCATAGGCTTCAGGCAGCAGGCTGATCTTTGAGATTCAGAGTTTAGTTTGTTTGTAAGGCTGTTCATAGATTTACGTTATATAGATTCAGTTTGGCCTGGAGGGATGGTGGGTTACAGCATACTTCAGGGCTTGATGGCCATTTTATCACTGGCCTCTTGCTGTACATAGGCTGGCCGGCATTCTGCATCCTAAAAGGAGCTATCCACAGAGGAGCAACGGGCACTCAGAATCTCTACGACTGTGCACAGGTGCATCACTGACACCTGACCCACACTGCACCGCGTTTTGGCTCCACTCTGGCAGGTGAGCTCTCAGCGCTCGATTCTGTAAGAGAACGTGAGTCTCAGGGAGCCTGGGGATGCGCCCAGGTCCCCAGGACGAGGATGTGTGGATTGCAGACCTGACCCCAGAGGGCCTGACTACAGAGCACGAGCCCAGCCATTCCTACGGCAGCCAGTGCAGAACGTGGATCTTAACTAGAAAGCTGCTAGATCAAAGAAAGGATTCAAAGATGCATCACATTTCCTGCCCCCAAATTAAAAAGGCGCAGTTAATACTGAAGCAGCTTCTCCAGGAAAGAGTGATGCTTGAGCTTCAGCAAGGAAAGCATTAAAGCAATTGAAGAAATGCCCTCTTTCTGATCCTCTGCGGGTCTTGTCTACAGGAAGCAATTCTATTATGTGAAGTTTCTCCAGCCTTATCTTGAAAACAGCATTGATTTGGAGGCTTAAAAAAAAAGTCTCGAATAAAAATTTGTAGAGTTCTTTATTATTCAATACTTAAAGAGATGGGAAAACAGACAGTAACATTTTTTATAGATTTACTAGGTTGGAGACTGCAGTGCCAAACACAAGGTTTATTGTCAAATAAAACACAGCTTTGTCTTTGATTGCCTGTTTTAGGAGAGCGCTGCTTCTGTTCTATAATTGCGTGCGCAAAATTATTTAATTTGTTTTGTTTGGATCTTATTCTGGACACTTTCCCAGCCGGAAAGGATGTAAAAATTAAAACATCTATTATGTCTTTTATATTCTGAGGTGGGTTATCAAGAGGAGCAAAGAAAAAATATTCAAAGGAGTGGGAAAAATATACTTTGTATGTTTTAAATTTCCTTGCTGTTAGTGGCTGCAGCGTGTGTGCAGTGGTCACAAGCCTGCCACATGTCCCTGCCCTGAGGCCAACTCCTCTGCCCCTGGCAGTAGCTTCCTCATCTTTGAGACCGGACTGAGGCAACCATGACCCAGTTAATAGCATCTTCTGATTCCAGGGCAGCAGGAAGCTCTTCAGCTCCTGGTGAAAGCAAGCTCAGTACTTTTATGAACAACCTGTAGGAAACAGATGTCTCCCTACCCGCAGCGGATGCGCTCCAAGACCTCAGGGGATGCAGAATATGTGGGTATATAACAGCAAACCCTATATAAGACTCTGTCGTTCCGCATACATACAAACTTAGGATACTGTTTAATGTATAGCCACAGAAACAGATTAATAACTCACAATAAGATAGGACAACTAAACCAACATACCATAAGAAAAGTTATTTAAAACTTGTTTCTGGGATTTCCCATTTCATACTTTAAGAGACTGAGGGACCGTGGATAACTGAAACCATGGGAGGTGGAGGCGGAGGCTAAGGAGGACAAAGGTGTCTCAGGAAACCTCTAAGGTGCACAGACGGGCACTGTGTCAGGCAGGCGCTTCATAAACAGCCAAACGGGAGCCCACCCTCCACTGGAGCCGTAAGTGTTCAGGGTTCTCCCCCCACCCGACCCCAGCCCAACCCTGGAAGAAAGATGGCCTTTGTCATCGCATCACATCGGGAAGAGCACATCAACAACAACAAAAAGAATCCTGAAACTGTTCGTCCTCACCCCAGGCTTGTCGTAACTCCACTGTGGCCTGGAACCACCCAGTGGAAGGCATGGTGCCAAGGAGGAAAGGGAAGAGTGGGCTCTGGAGTCGCAAGTCCCACGGCGCGTCTGGGGGCCCTGGAGAATGAGAACCGTGGGGTGCAGAATTCGGAGGAGGCGGAGGAGACTGGCCGCGCAGTTGCAGACCCGCTCGGACTCCCGGTACTCACTTCCGGTATTCGGTACTCACTTCCGGTATTCCTCCTCCGTCATCTTCAAGCAGAAGGTCTCCAGCACCCGCATCAGCTCCTGCGGCTGCACCAGGCCGGTGTTGTTAACATCAACAAGCTGAAAGGCTTTGATGATCGTTTTCAGGTTTCTGAAAACCTACGTACAAAAAGTCATTTTCAGAAAAGTCAAAAGATCCTGTGTTAAAACCCAAAATGGTAATAAAAAATGTGAAAGTTTTTTTTTAATACTTCTTGTAAAATAAAATGTTTTCAAAGATTCACGGTGGTAGGCATTGCAAAATGACACGTCTATGGAGAAAAGAACACTTTGCATTTACTGAATGTTTCCAAGGCAATTTTCTCAGTAAATGGTCTTAGTAAGTTTAGAAAAAAACTTTCTTTCTGATGTAAAGCAGTAAGTTTCATACACAATTCATTTCCTTTTTTAGGGCCGTATGAAAAATCTTTTTTGTTAATTTACGCTTAAAAACTGTAGTTCTGGCAAAGCTGGCCTTGTATGATTTTTATTTTTCTCAGCCATATGCAAACTATTTTTACTAGGAGCTAGAAAATATGGCTGTATATTTCAACCCCTCTGAATTTTCTTTTAAAGATATTACAAGAAAGTTTTGTAGAGATCTTCCCCCGTTCAGCAAATGATGTTTACTGGGCACATGGGTGTGGCGAGGCCTTGAACCCATGAAGACAGTGGAGGTGGGTGGGGGCTTGGGAGCTGAGAGAGTGGGGCCTCACTCTGTAGAGCCCTGTACAGGTCCTCCCAACCCACCAGAAGAACCACCGCTTCCCCCATCTCCCGCCCAGGAAACGGAGGCTCAGGAGCTGTGTCCAGAATCCCTCAGCTGTCTTTAAACTCAGGTTCATCTGTCGCTGCGGAACCCCGCAGGAAAGAGGTGACATGTGATGGCTATTCACTGCAACAGGGCAGAGCAGGCAACAAGGCTTGCAGGCCTTCTGAGAGGGTGACAACACTTCTGCCAAATGACCTGGAAGGCTTCCCATTGGAGCTGGCCCTGAGCCGGAAGTGGTGGCCAGGCCCTTGCACAACAGCTGTGGTGACCTCTCACAGCCAAGGTGGGACAGAAGGGCAGCAGTAGGGCCGGGTATAGTGGGTGAGAGCCAGGAGCAGGTGGTGTAGTGGGTCCTGGAAGGATCTGGTTCTGCATCCCTGGACCCAGCCCATGACCAGCCTGGACCCTGAGGGACAGAAGTGTACCTCACAGGCCGTCTGGAGAGGCATCAGACAGGTCTGCTCCCTTTCCACCCACACACCCCAGTCCTCAGGGCTTTCTCTCCATGTCCCCTTTCTGTCCTACACTTGAGAAACCCTGCCACCCAGCAAGATGCCCCTGCAGCCCCTCCTGGGATGGCTGTCCTTGTTTTCCAGCCCCAGACGCCATGAGCTCTGCCTTGACCCTGAAGCCTCAGCTCCACCTGCTGTCCCCACCACCTCCTTGCTTCAGGCATCTGCAGACCTCCAAGTGCTCCTGCCTGGGCCATGTGAGCCCTCGAAACTCACTCTGCACCCCTGTGCCAGCCAGTCCCTGTGACACACAGCTCCCAAGCTCTATGCCTGTCACTACCAATAGCCTCCAGCTTTGTGCAAAGAGCCTGCACTCTGCCACCCTCTTCCTCCTCCGCCTCACTCCTAGGTGCCCAGAGGTCACCGGCCTCATCCCACCCTCGGCCTGCTGCTCCACCTGCTCCCTGCCCTTCCCACCCTTCTTCCACAGGCTCCCTTCTGTGCTCATCGGCACCCCTCAGAGATGTGCAAACCCCACTTCCCCTCCTCCTCCTTTAGCAAGACCCCATCCCTGAGTGGATCCAGCTGGCTGCCTGGCCCAGTCCTCATCCACATCGCCTGATGTGGTGAAGAAAAGGGGACCACTGAGTGCTTCTGGGACCCCTCAAGCCCCAAGCCACTCACCCCGTGGGATGGGGCACTGCTCCACGGTAGTCCTTCTACACCCACTGCCCCTACACACACACACACACACACTCCATCCACAGTCAGCCCCCTTTTACTTACAGCGTAGGGACAGAACCCAGGGCCTTGTGTGCTAGGCAAGCCCTCTCCCACTGAGCTGTGCCCAGCTCCTGTCACACCTTCTTCACTCCTCCCCTAACCTCTCAGACCAGGATCCCTCCCTCAGGACTCTGAACAGAACGATGACACTGGGTATCCCCGAGATGAGGACAGTAATAGGATCACCGATTAAAGGCCCCACCCTGAACTCTCTACATACCACCTCCCAACAAACAGAGCACATGGCCACAGGACCCGGAGGCCAAGTTCAGGGAGCGCAGCGGCAGCCGCTGGATGGCAGGGCTCCTGTGTGCCACCCTCTGCTCTGCTTTGGGCCCCAAGAGCTCTCACACCCTCGGCCAAAGGAAACTCAGCACTGCCTGCTGCCCAATCCCCATGCGGCTTCTCTGGGGAAACGGAGGAGGACAGGAGACGACGCACTTTTTTAAAACCCCCAAGCACCCCATATGGATGCCCAGTGTGGAGAGCCAGGCAGCCGCAAAGCTGGCAGCGAGCTCCCGCCCACCAGAGCTGCATCTCCAAGTTCCTTATCACTTGTCAGACTGGAGGCTGGCACGAGCCGCAGCACAGAGCTGCAGATGGTGAGGCTTAGCCAAGGTGGCACAGTCAGGGCCCCGGGGTCCAGGGCTGGCCCCACACGGCGGGAGAGGAGGAAATGGTGAGAAACGAGGAGCCCAGGGCCCACTGATGGTGCTTGTGCCCACCCCACCCCGTTCCCTGCAGGGGCCTCCTTACAGTGTCCCTCACGCTCTTGCCCTCCAGGTGCCCTCTGCTGGATACCCCCTTTCCTGTATTCCCTCAGGTCTTGGTCTCGGGGGTCCATTTCCCCCTTAACATTCATCAGCCATTTGGGGACCATTTCCAGTTTCTATCTGTATCGGTCCACTGTCTGTCTTCATCCAGCGAGATGTGGACCAGTTTCTTGGACATGTTTGCCGCTGTACTAGGATTTCAGGAGGGGAAGAACACACTGTATCTGCTGCTCAGGACGCCCTGCCCCAGCCCTGCCCCTGTCCACTCTGGGAGAGGACTTGGTGGCTTCTCTTCTGGCTTCCTAATTACCCTCCTACCACTGTTGACCTCAACGGCGGTGTAGCCCTAACCAGCCCCTTCCGGCCCGTTCTGCCACCTAGGCTTTCCCTTTCCAAGCTCCAGTCCCCTGCGCTGGGGAGCAGTGCTCGCTAACAGAAACAAGTGCACCCAGGGAAGGACAATGGGGCACAGTTAACAGGAGGAGACAGGCTGCTACTCCTCCAAATCCAGGACAAGTCTGACAAAAGAAAACGTGGGGTGCCCTCCAATTCCTCAGAGAGGTCAGCTGGGGAGGGCTGATGGCACCTAGCTTCCTCACTAAGGGGACCTGGCTGTCTTTATCCTAGGTAGGGTAAACCCTGCCGCCTGATTTCCTACACCTGGAAGCAGAGGACGGCTTTAACACTTTCAAATGGTTGGAAAAAACCAAAAGAAGACTATTTTGTGACACGTGAAAAGTTATGCGAATTTCAAATTTCAGCATCCATAAATAGATTCTCCTGGCAAGCAGCCACACCCAACATTTGCATATTGTCTGGGCTGCTTCCCCCTGCCAGGGGAGGAGTGGGGTGGCTGGAGAGAAACTTCCTGACCCAAGACAAAAAGACTCCCTGGCCCTGGGCAGAGTAAATTCTCTTAATCCATGCGCCAGCTCCCTCACACACCTCAGGAGCTATAAAGCTCACAAGCAAAGGGCTGGGGCTTTTCAAAGCACCCTGAAACAAGAGCTAGCTATGCCTTCGCCACACAGAAACCAGGAAGTAGTAGGCTTGAGGTCTTCTCAAGACGCTGCCCCAGGGTCCCTTCCCCTGGGGACAGACTTCATTCCAGCCCCACTCCCGCCACACCATAGGCCGTGCCAGACCCCCAGCACTCTGTGCCTTTGGAGCCGAGGCTGGAGTAGGCAGGACCACAGGGAGGACGGACAAAATGACCAGGGTTTTCAGGACCGGGAGAGCCTGGCTGGGAAGAGGCAGGGGACACAGAGCTTCAAAGCTCTGAAATGCGGCCTCAGAGGTAAAGGCAAACCTTTACCCCGTGCAGGCAAAGAAGCGAAATCCTGCTTATACAGGAGCAAAGAAAAATGAGGAGGTGACTGTGAAGGACAAAAAAACCTTCCATTGTTTTTTGGTACCAGGGATCGAACTTGGGACCTTGCACTTGCAAGGCAGGCAGCAAAACCACTGAGCTAAATCCCCAGCCCAAAACATTCCATTTTTTAAAAGTAATAAAAGCAAAGTTTAATTTGAAATATTCTGGAGCTAGGCACCATGGTGAATGACTATAATTCCAGCTACTTGGGAGTCTGCAGCGGGAGGCTGCAGCAGGAGGATTGCAAGTTTGACGCCAGCCTCAAAATTAAAATGAAAAAAGGGGCTGGAAATGTATGCAGCTCAGTGACAGAACACGTGACAGACATACATGAAGCCCTGGGTTCAATTCCAGTGCTGGACAAAGTATGGAAAAGATTCTGATGAATTTATAAAGATGGAGGCGTGGAGTGGGGAAGGTACACACCTGCTCTCAAGTATGGTGGCCTGTCCTGAGAAGCACACAAAACTGCTCTGGGTGGCAGCCACCCCTCAAGACAATCCCAGTGTGTCTAATCACAAAGGGCAAGTGATGGCTGGCCAAAGGCTCTGAAATCCCAGCTCCATCCTACCAGTCAGGTAACCCTGGAAGAGCAACATGATTCCTCAAAACTTCAGTTTATAGGGGCTAGGGATTAAGCTCAGCGGTTTTAACGCCTGCTTTGCAAGCCCAAGGTCCCAAGTTCAATCCCTGGTACCAATAAA